ATACTTTTTTCAAAATCTCAGTATCCAGGTTTTAATTTGTTTCTCAGTTCCATTCAAACAAGTCGTTTTGTTGTGTCTCGTCAAATGTGTTAGTTATGTTTATGTATTTTCTCTGTCATTTCCTGTTTTATTTTGTACTTACCTCTTGTCTTTCATTGCAGGCCCTGTTTCTTCCTCCCCTTGTGTGTTTTTCCCGCCTTCATCAGTGTCTGCCCCGCCCCTGATTGTTTCCACCTGTTCCCACTCACCTCATGTTTAAATAGTCCTGTCTCTCCCCTGTCCTGTGTCAGTTCGTCTTGTTTGTTTCCTCGAATGGTCGTGCCAAGCCTCAACTCAGAAAGGATTGCTTTCTCTCATGTCAGGTTTTGTTATGTTTGTTTATTTTTGTTGGCTTAAAGTTTTTATTAAGTCCTCTCTTTGTTACGCTAGTTTTTTCCTCCTTGTGAGCGCTTTATGTTATTTCCACCACCTACTCTGTTAAGAGGAATTACCTGAACTGTGAAAATAAATACACTTTTTTATTACATTCAAGACTTTGTCTCTGGGTCGTGCATTTGGGTTCATCAGTTTGACAAGTTTGACTGCAGGCTGATGAGCACACTTTATTTTGTATACCTAAAAGCAGGCATGTCCAAAGTTTGGAGACCAGGTCAGATTTAATGAGGTTTTATAATGTATTATTTATGGCCCACTAGCACTGTCAAACAGAATAAATCTTCAAAATGTAATTCCTCCTTTTACCGCATGGTGGCAGCACCACTCTAAGGGGCCGTTCTCATGCCGAAATGTAAAGGTCCCATGTCATGGCCATTTCTTCTGATCATAATTCCATTGTTGAGGTCTACTAGAATAGATTTACATTGTTCAATTTTCCAAACTCACATTGGTTTCTCATACAGCATCTCTGTATAGTATGTGTATTCACTCTCTGTCCTAAACGGCTTGTTGGAGCTCCTGCCCCCCGCTCCCTATGAGCCCACTGTGCTCTGATTGGTCAGCTCGCCCACTCTGTTCTGATGAGTCCACCACCGTTACAGCGGAACATCAGTGATTATGTGTTACAATGGCGTTAGCAACCAGGAAATGACACCAGTAATGACAAACAGATGAGAATGCTGCGTGGGGTCTGGGTGCCGTGTTGGCGGGACGTTGCGGGGCTCGCTGCTCCGCCCTTTGAGGCTCGAGGAGCGGCCAGTGTGAGCTGGATTACTGGTGTCGTTTCCTGGTTGCTGCGTGGGTTCTGCCTGAGCTCCGCGGTGTGTGCGGAGATCCGCGGAGCCGCGGCTGAGAAAAGATAAGGCTGAGTGAGTGTGTGTGAGGAGCTCCACGGATTGGTCCATTTGGTCGTCGTTACGTCACTGTCACCAGGAAGAAAAAAATGGAAAAAGAACAATCTCCAACAAGGTGTTCTGGGGCAGCATAGACAGGTATTTTCTGTGTTAGAGTTTTACTCGCTACAGGGTGTACTTTGAGGGTTTGTGACTCTGCAGACCGTTTACATGCATAAAAACCTTCATAACACACAAGGGGACGGGTAATAACTAGAAAAGCATGTTATGGGACCTTTAAGCCGATGGTATTTGCGTTTGCCTTATCTGTTAAAGACACTGTATTTTTGTCTTGGTATTTCCTGGTTTCTTTTGTTTTGCGTGGATCCGTGGTAAAACCCAGAGCGGCCTTTTTTTAGTTGCCTTTGTTTATGAGCCCACAGCAGGGGTACTCAAATACAAATCTTAAAGGTCCACATTTTTTTTTTCAATAAGACAAAGGTCCGTTTATTACGGTCATTCAAACTTTTAAACAATTGCAACAAGATTCTTAACACGAGGTTGCAAAAACAAAAATAATCTGTATGCAGCAATTTTCATTGTTATTGTGTCTGTGCTTGATCCCTCAGAGTCGCAGTGTAAGAGCTGCACAGTTATGAATAAAGGCAGCTGCACCCTCTTTCATTCAGCATTCCCATTATTGCTTTATAAATGTCTTGCCCCCTTGTGTGTCCACTGAGGTTCGTCAGGCCCAACACATCTTCAACAAACTCCCCCTTTGCCTCATCATAAAAACTCACAAACACCAGCAACTGAGCATTGTCAGTGGTGTCAGTGGACTCATCCACAGCTAAGGAAATGCACTGTGCATTTTTTATTCCATCACAAAGCTGATTAATCAAATCACCAGCCAGTATTTATGTTCTTCTGGTTGCTGTGGAATCTGAGAGGGGGATTTGCTTGATTTGACCTGTTATTTCCTCTTTTTGTTTGCCTTCAAACATGGTCTCCATCACTTCAGTCATGCATTCTTTTATACTTCAGTTATTATCCAGTGGAAAGTCCTTACCTACTGGCCTAGTTCAATCAAAGTGGTTACTTTTTTTTGGCTGGGCAGTGTAGTTTTACACACCGTCTTATTTGACTTTCTCAGGACTTAAAACTGTTTTTTGGGGGCAGACCCCCACAAAGAAAAAAATATATTTACACACGTAAGGTCATCATCTTAACAGTTTTGTATGTTCATCCGTGAGCAGAGCATCAAGTTAACATGCCTATTACAGCTGAATGCGGCGATTACCATTTTGTTCAGCAAAACGCCTCACAAACCTATTAAGATCAACAGCTTTAGTGCGTTTTGATTCAATGCTGAGTACAGCCAAACTTGACAGTCTCTTATCTGTCATTGTAGACCGCAAATACCTCATTCCTTCAGTACTTGGGTCCGAAATTCGAATGCTTCTCGTTTTGCATCGTCCCGTTCAAATAAAATCTCCGCCAATCATATTTCCACGCTCGCGCCAGGGACGGAGGAGGGGTTACAAGACTTGCATCTTGTGCTGCATTCACTTGCACTCGGACATTAGAGACTTTCTCTCATAAATGTCAGATGAGCCACAACTTTTCTTTCAAAACAAAGCTGCCAACTGGGGTGGCAGCTGGGGTAGGTGAAACTAGGCTACTAGCTACAGTACAGATGCAACTAGATGAGCTGTTAACTCTCGCTCTGATTTTTTCTTTTTTAAACTCTCGCTCTGACTCAGACAGGTTGAAAGAGACTACACGACACACGCATTTTTCCCACCCGCATTCCGCGAAGACCCGCCCTACTGTGCCTCTGATTCGCAGACTGTTGGTGGGGGAAAAAAACGCTGACGGGATGCTGAATGTGATTGGACCAAAGCGTTGACAGATACACACAGACAGTGGAACAGTCTGCAGAGCGCTGTTTGCAGCGGACATAGCGGAGAATTTTGACTCGTTGCGTTGTGGCGATGTCTCGCAGATAACACAGATAATACAGATAATACAGATGAAAAGTATAATTTGCTCAGAGTCCAGAGACAGTTGTGATTCGGTCCGGATCCGGACCGGAGTCCGGACTTTGAGGATGCCTGGCCTACAGTATGAACTGGATTGCATTTATGTTGGGGTTGTCAACTCTTTGCTAAAGCGGATTGAACTGTATGTATTGACTCTTTTCCCCACACATTGCCCACACTTTGATTTTATATGTGTTAGCCTACTTTCCCAGAAATTGATGTGTGATTTATTTTGAATTGCATTTCAGTGATGAAGGAGATATTTTCCGAATTAATTCATTTGTGTATGGTTTGACTGAACAATTTCTGTTGAATATATTAGATTATTATTTGTCAGACTTGATTCTGACTGTCACCCCACTTTATTAAAAATAGGTCAAACCTGCTTCAAAGTTTAAGGTATTCCATATAGTTTGTTCAATGTTATCTGACTCTCCAGAATGAAAGGCAGTGTTTTTAGAGTGGTTCACACCTGAGTGGCTTATATTGGGTTACATTGCCATTTGAAAAATAAAGATAATTGTGACAATGAACATTTTTAATACAGTGTATTTTTATGTTACTTTTATGTTTAAAAATGTCAGAAGGGACTATTGGCCCTCGCCGGGTATATTCACAGGATCAAATCTGGCTCTCTTTGAAAGAACTTTGGACCCCCCTGCCTAAAAGCCCTAAAGAGTAACACAGCCAAAGGCTCCAGAGCATTGTGTAAAGTCTTACAGCTTTAAGTGGATCTTGACATTTTGTTTAACAATTTACTTTTTAAATAACAGTTTTCTGCCCACATTTTATGATGAGGACATTTCAGAAAATCTAGCAAGTCAAAAGATAAAATGCAAATCTCATGCTGGCTATTCCTCAGTATTATTAACTTAGTGCTGACATACAGTACAAAGGTAACACATTTTTTAACAATTATTCAAAATTATATTTCTTAAGGTACAAAAGCTTATCTTTCTACCTCTGCAAAAACGTTGTGGGTTTTAAATGTGTTTGTTGGTTAAAAATAGCAGCCTCTTTCTGCATATATAATATGATTAAAGAAAAACCGACATTTAACAGTGTAGGATTTCCATTTTGAGTTATTTTTGTATGTACTGTTTCTTGCTATGTGAAATCTCATTCCTCCAATTTGCCCTTTTTTGTAGTACTTTAGTTAGTGATATCCTACATTTCATACAGAGTCCAGAGAAAAGAGGATTCTCTGTATGAACTGCATATTTACTCCTTTAGTTAAATTAGTTTGAACTCATTGAGAAAACATAAAAATGACTTCATCAAAGTGAGACATATGCCTCCATTTAAAATATCCTTTTTAATGTCCCTAAGTTCTCATGACATGCCAAATCACGTTGATATAATAAAGGTGTTAAGCCTGCAAGCTGATTTTAATACCATACTGAAACAAATGGCACCCAATGACTTCCTGACGATAGAAATGGTACTAGAAATGATTTCAAACAAATCAAACATTATAATGATTTGTAAAAGAGTTGGCAGATATGTAGTTAACATGAGGGGTCTAGTGCAGAATTCAATTTAGGTACTGGGTTTAAGATCAGAAGGTCAAAGGTGCATCGAATTTGGACATTTTCTTAGGGCCAACAACAAATGTCCTCAGGAAACAAAAAGCAACAATGCAAATAACCAGCATTAAAAAGAGAGGGAGGGAAACAAGTATTACTCATACCTGCATACTTACAGTGTAACTGTTGTTGGACACAGTCACCGGCTGCCCATCTTCTGTGTAATAGGTCTCTGTGAAGTCTGGACCTATGAGCTCCCTGGGAAAGAGAAAGAGAAAAAGGGAGATAATTAGGTCTGATTTGACTTTAATGATCACTGTGTAATTTAGGTTTTAGCAGCCACATGTAGAAATGGGAAGTAACATAGAAAAATCGTCTGAGGTCATGAACAAATAGAACACTGCTTTCACACTCCAGTGAATTGTCTTCATCTGTTTTGAGGACCTTGCTTTTGCGCTGCAGTGAGGTCAAAATCAAGTTGTATCACCCATAACCCAATGGAGAGAGTAAAGGCCAAGTTTGAAGTAATTGTTTTTCTGGAAACAGGAAGTGTCTTCTTTGATCAGTCAATAAAATTAGGTGATGCTATTAGCTAATGTCCTTATGTAGACTAGCTAGGTGATTGACAGCAGCTGACTGTTGCCTAATGAAATGCAACATAGTGGGTCATGTAGTAATGTATTTCTTCCTTTTAGATTGGTTTCTTTTGAATTACTGACTTTATTGAAGTGCAATATTAAATCACCTTTAAGTAAGTAAAGGGGGCCTGTTATGATTATGTTCAGGTGACGTGTATATCAGAATGTAGTGTCTCTACTTTAAAGAGTCCTCTCCTGCTGATGTTCAGGTGACGTGTATATCAGAATGTAGTGTCTCTACTTTAAAGAGTCCTCTCCTGCTGATGTTCAGGTGACGTGTATATCAGTATGTAGTGTCTCTACTTTAAAGAGTCCTCTCCTGCTGATGTTCAGGTGACGTGTATATCAGTATGTAGTGTCTCTACTTTAAAGAGTCCTCTCCTGCTGATGTTCAGGTGACGTGTATATCAGAATGTAGTGTCTACTTTAAAGAGTCCTCTCCTGCTGATGTTCAGGTGTATATCAGTATGTAGTGTCTCTACTTTAAAGAGTCCTCTCCTGCTGATGTTCAGGTGTATATCAGAATGTAGTGTCTCTACTTTAAAGAGTCCTCTCCTGCTGATGTTCAGGTGACGTGTATATCAGTATGTAGTGTCTCTACTTTAAAGAGTCCTCTCCTGCTGATGTTCAGGTGACGTGTATATCAGTATGTAGTGTCTCTACTTTAAAGAGTCCTCTCCTGCTGATGTTCAGGTGACGTGTATATCAGTATGTAGTGTCTCTACTTTAAAGAGTCCTCTCCTGCTGATGTTCAGGTGACGTGTATATCAGAATGTAGTGTCTCTACTTAAAGAGTCCTCTCCTGCTGATGTTCAGGTGACGTGTATATCAGAATGTAGTGTCTCTACTTTAAAGAGTCCTCTCCTGCTGATGTTCAGGTGACGTGTATATCAGTATGTAGTGTCTCTACTTTAAAGAGTCCTCTCCTGCTGATGTTCAGGTGACGTGTATATCAGTATGTAGTGTCTCTACTTTAAAGAGTCCTCTCCTGCTGATGTTCAGGTGACGTGTATATCAGTAATGTAGTGTCTCTACTTTAAAGAGTCCTCTCCTGCTGATGTTCAGGTGACGTATCAGAATGTAGTGTCTCTACTTTAAGAGTCCTCTCCTGCTGATGTTCAGGTGTATATCAGTATGTAGTGTCTCTACTTTAAAGAGTCCTCTCCTGCTGATGTTCAGGTGTATATCAGAATGTAGTGTCTCTACTTTAAAGAGTCCTCTCCTGCTGATGTGCAGGTGTATATCAGTATGCAGTGTCTCTACTTTAAAGAGTCCTCTCCTGCTGATGTTCAGGTGTATATCAGTATGTAGTGTCTCTACTTTAAAGAGTCCTCTCCTGCTGATGTTCAGGTGTATATCAGTATGTAGTGTCTCTACTTTAAAGAGTCCTCTCCTGCTGATGTTCAGGTGTATATCAGTATGTAGTGCCTCTACTTTAAAGAGTCCTCTCCTGCTGATGTTCAGGTGTATATCAGTGTGTAGTGTCTCTACTTTAAAGAGTCCTCTGCTGATGTTCAGGTGTATATCAGTATGTAGTGTCTCTACTTTAAAGAGTCCTCTCCTGCTGATGTTCAGGTGTATATCAGTATGTAGTGTCTCTACTTTAAAGAGTCCTCTCCTGCTGATGTTCAGGTGTATATCAGTATGTAGTGTCTCTACTTTAAAGAGTCCTCTCCTGCTGATGTTCAGGTGTATATCAGTATGTAGTGTCTCTACTTTAAAGAGTCCTCTCCTGCTGATGTTCAGGTGTATATCAGTATGTAGTGTCTCTACTTTAAAGAGTCCTCTCCTGCTGATGTTCAGGTGTATATCAGTATGTAGTGTCTCTACTGTGACATGTCTCTATGCTTTAATGTTCAAAAAGCTCTTTATTTTCTCATACTGCCGCACCTCTTTTCACCCTCTGTCTGAAACCAGAGCCCAGTCTGCTCTGATTGGTTAGCTGGCCGGCTCTGTTGCGATTGGTTAGAAATGTCCCGCCCCCTTAGCCATGTACAATGTGTTGGAGCACTAGTCAATAGGAGCGCAATGTCACATAGTGATATCACTATGGTCCGGAAGTAAACAACAAAGGAGTCCAATGGAGGTGAGAAACACCACAAAAGCATTAATATCTAATAACCTGATAATTATAAAGAGTAGTTTGTCAATTTTAGACAGCAAGTGTAATATTATCCTTAGTTTCATTTTACAGACTCCAGCAGGTAGTCTTGTCAGCATGGCTATGTTTTACACAGAGAGGGTCTAACATAAAGCCAAATCACAATTTGGTATTTTTCTGTACCAAAAATTCTCTTTTCTAGTTTGTTTGTTTTTAGTGCCCAGACCTGAGTGAACAGGCGGGAGCTTCGTTTAAATAAAGCAGCGCAAAGAGAGTGGTTGTTATTTAGTTGGAAACAGGGTCCAAGATGTAGCCCTGAGAATCGACGTCGCACTACATTAGCCGCTTCACACCAAGTACTTGTCCCTGGTACTTGTTCCCCCGAATTCTTTAGTCCCTCGAACTGTCCTAGGCCCCGTCCACGCGGAGACGATTTCAGTTGTATCCGCTAAGGTTCTTTATCGTATAGACCAGTGGTCACCAACCTTTTTAAGCCCAAGATCCCTGACCTCGGCCTTGGTGAAAGGCGAGATCTACCTATTGCAGAATTGAGTGAAAGAGACAGCCCAGACAGTACTTCCAATTTGAGGCCTTTTATGTAGGCTAATTGCCTCTGAATTACATCAAATAATTTGGTGCAACTTCCAATTTGATTAAACCAAGAACACAACATAACTAACATGTCAAAAAGGATAAATATATATATTTACATCATACCTATCATTTTAAGTTTCATTCATTCCTTCATTACAATCCTAAATATAAATGTATGTAGCTTATTTTCCATTTGTTTGAGTGCATGAGTACATTATTTTGTTGACAGCAACAATAACAAAGAAAAAAATAACATCTTGCAGTGAGCAGATAACATAAAGTGCCATTTTAACTGTGAGGCTTATCCACTGAAGCTTCATGCAAGTGCAACATTTAACATTAAAACTAGTTATTTTTTACACAATTCTTACAAATTCAAAATTCTAACAACATTCTTTATTGGTGCGTTCACACTGGACGCGATGCGATTTTTGGGGGCGGCGCATGTAAAGTCAATGCAAAGGCGCGGACAGACGCGGTTGATGCGAATGACGCGTTCGCGCGGTAGCCAATCAGCGGTGAGGATCTCAGCCTGCCGTCACGGACGTTGAATCAGAAAACCGAAACATCAGCCGTTAGCTGTTAGCACACAGAGCTCACAGCTCCTCATATCTGTTCAGAAACTGGACAAAAGTTAAACATGAACAACCCAGCTAGCGGGGAACGTTCTCACAACTTTGGCTAACGTTACCTACAGGTTAAAGAGGGTTTCACAGTTCCCATTCCCTACAAGTCTTTCACTCTCTTTTTGCTTTATGCCACCGCTATATTCAACTGAAGAATTACAAGAATGGGGAATTGCTTCAACCACTTGGGCTTAGGAACCTAAAAAAGTCTGACAAAGAACCTTTCCACCACCATGTTGCAGCTCAGAGTACTGACAGTAACTGCCTGACGTGTGAGACCTCATTTTATCTCAAACTACACTTGCCAACTAAATCTCTGCTTTGAAGAAAGAGCAAAGTCAGACAAAGCCTCAATGATATTCATAGCTTCTCTCTTTGCTTGCTGACATCCCTGTATGATTTTCTGATATTGCCATGCTTGATTGCTAAAAGCATAATCCCTTCCAAATGAAATGTTGGATCAGCAGGACCGGAGCCTTTCATGTTGATGGAAGTTGGGCATTGATAACAAAAAGGAGACGGAGAAGGAAAATATCGCAATGCCTTCGCTACGTTTGTATCATTTGTTAGTTACTTATCTCATGCAAATCCTTATCTGTCCAAAGCAAACTTTTCTTTATCTGTTAGTGCTCTGCTGAAAGACTGCTTGAGTGCTACAATAGGAAAATAAAATGCATTATATTATGGTTTCTAAAAGGTCACCATACGACAAAAATTCATTGGCTCCATTTTAGCCTGCAAGAAGAAAAGGTGACATTTGTCATGTCTGGGGAGAAGGAGTGGGCTGTAAAATGCCAAGACGTCCCTGGACGGACGCATCCGTGCTACAGATGTATGGATCAGTGAGACCACAAGGACATCTGGCCTCACTCTGTGTGGCTGAATCACTGACCAGGCAGGAGACACACTCAGAACATCCCTGAGCACAAATGGGCAAATGGAAGACGGACATGAATAGATGAGCCCAATCTCCATTTGGTCCCAGGAGCCCTATTGTATTATTCATTGAGGGAGATCGTAATGGAACATAATCCAGCTTTCTTATCCCTTTTTATTGCAGACAATTTGCTCTGTATTATAAAAAGACTGTTTTACGTGGCAATCCAATAATGTTAATTTGATTGAAGCTTGTGCACAGACAGAAGTGTGTGAAATTCAACTCTTATTCAGCACAGTATTTACACAGCATGTTCATTAAAGTGAGAAAGAATGAAATTGCTTTTCATTGCAGGTGAATGTCTTTAAAGGATGGTATAGAGACAAATATTATACTCAAATGTCTCCTACGGTTTAATTAAA